CTTACGTATGACACTTCATCGTAAAAATTACCCTTTCATATAATAATCATGTTGGTCTTAATTCTTTGCCGCGTTAAAGAAAGATAAGTTAATAACGACTCACCGGTTAAATATTTTAAATTCAGTATTATCAAATCCTAACTACTTTTTTAAATAGCAAAATGCATTACGCCAGCGCAGTGGAATATGGTCTACGGGGGTAGACCATATTCCACTGCGCTGGCGTAATGCATTTTGGGGTCAATCACGAGGGGTCGTGTGAGTGGTGACCCAGTAGTGATTTTAAAGTGAGCTGCATTATGATTTTTATAATATAACTAGCGGTTCACTCTCACTTCGCTCGGGTTCGTCCTTAGTGAAAAACAAAAATAAATCTATCCCACGGGAACCGTAAATTTTTCGGGATAAGGAGTAGCCTATGTGCTATTCCAGACTATAATCTATCACTGTGCCTTTCATCCGTTCTAGCGTGATTGACTAACAAACATCCATCCAAACTTTTGCATTTTTATAATAGTAAGATTTGTGTCGTAGTCTGTGAAAAAAAGACCAATAGATAAACACAGCCTTATGGCATTAAAGCTGTAATTACGGTCCATTCCTCGTAAGCGCAATCAATGCACGTCAAAATTTCTATTCCACTTGACATTGTTTCTTACCAGTTAATTAATTCTTTGACATTAAAAAATGAGAACCACTGATGAAAACTAAAATTAAACTTTAAATAAGTAGGTTATATTTATAAGTAAATACTATAAATAGTGTACATTATAAAAACTATATAGGTATAGTATAAACCTAAACGATTGTGCACTATAAAAAAAAATACGAAAAATATATAAATTCTCGTTATATCCATATTTTTACAAAATATGGTATCACAATATTCTTATGCGTAAACCGCTGGACAGATTTCAATAAAATTTGGCAAGGACATAGATTGCATCCTAGGATGGACATAGGCTACCTTTGAATCCCGCCCCGTAGTTTTTGTAATATTAAGCGAAGTAGATTGGGTTCGGCTAAAAAAATAAATAATAACTGTATTTTTAAATTAACGATTGTTAGAAAATAAAATGATGTTTTTATGATCATTATAAATAGCAAATTACTTTTGTAAAAAGATTTTGGCATTCAAATACAATATTGAAGAAGGGAAAATCTATAAATACTGTCTGACTGTCCTCACTTTTTTTCGTTAACCATGTAAAACCAAAAAGTCTTTAACAATAGTATAATTAATTACTGCTCGATTTATCCAACCATTAAAAGAAACTTAACTATATTAAAAAAAAAAAAGTGAAGTAGGCTGCACTTTTGTCACCTTTGAATCATAACTTATCTCCGACCCAACTTAAAGTGAATAAAAATAATGAACTAAAATAAACCTTATTAAAAGCGCATAAAGTTCATTTTTCAGTTCTTATATAAGAAACGACATTGGCCCAATATTTGTCCCACATGTCAAATAATTCCAGGCGTTTGATTTGTTTGGAAAAGGTGTAGACGTCTCGACATGCAACCGGTTTACAATGAACTTTGCTTTCATACTAAATGAATGCCACATCGTAATTTCTTACACTGGATGGTTCACACTGTGTAGTTTGTCATTTGAACGACTAATGTGTAAACAGATAAAGGGTCATTTTGAAGTGAAAGTAAATTATAAGAACGGCGTTTCAAAATTTCCTTATGGGATAATGATGCTAATGGATATTTTTGCTCTCGAGTGGTACAATTTGTTATAACAAAACCTTTTTACCCTAAAGTACCTTGAGCTTGAGGGTACTCAGATTGATTGTTTGAAGATTTAAAAACGGATTTTATAGGGGAATGTTACATCCTATGTAACTGTTGGTCTCATCATTCATCTTTTGTAAACTTTTTTATTATTGTATAGATATCTACTTACATTTAAATCCGACATCTAAAAGAGGGATCGTCAAGGCTTATGCTTTTGGATTGCATTTGCACGATTGTATTACAAATTAAAAAATATAAAGTGAATAGTACTAAAAATTATAAAGTTTACTAAATATTTTCGAGTCCTTTCTTTTCCTACTTAATTCTTACATTTACCTTTTATTTTGTCTCTTGTTATCGATTTTTCATCGATTCAATTGTTTTCTTTGTTTTACAATTACAAACTAGCGTGAGCTTGACTTAAAAAAAATAACAATACTTTTTATGTAATTGAGGTACATGTTAGGAATGTAAGATTTATTTAAAAACCTAAATATACATACAAATAACAACAAGCATAAAATGCATTCCGTCGCGTCCCGCCAAAACAATTCGCGTGCATTGCAACGTCTCTTGTCAATGAAAGCACAGATAAACATAAACTTGAATGACATACTCTTTGCACTGGCTGTTAAAATAAAAATAAAATATTTGTTTACAAAAGATTTATTATGGGTGGTTGTAATTTAATTTATTTAAAATACTCACATGATTCAATACGAAACAATGATGTTTGATGTCTTCATTGAATGAATTGATAACGGCGTGTAAAATAAAATCAAAGACTTTTGGTTCATGTTCAGTAACAGGCTTTTATGACATAAATTCTCGCCGAAACAATTACAACGTCACTTGTCAATGAAAGCACAGATAAGTACAAACTTTTGTGAAATACGCTGAACCGTAAAATAAAATTAAAAAAATATTACTTTACAAAAGATATATTGTGGGTGGATGTAATTTGCTTTACTCATTTAAGCGTGATTCAATTCGAAATAATGCTTTTAGAAGCTCGATTCAATGGATATAAATTGGCAGATGAAAGTGAACATTCAACGCAATACAGAATATGCAATATTTAAGTAAATGTTGACAATTCATTATTACTCTGACTGGTAAAGCTAATAAATGGTAAACGAATAAAATTAAATACAGCGGTTATTGCTGAGTGAATGAAACAAAAATATGCAGTTTAACGACACATTGGTTAAAAAAGCTAAATATACATATTGTTATAGTTACCTTTTGTATATCAAATTGCAACTGTGACGATCTTAATAGTATTTTTTACAAATAATAAATAAACTCTATTACATCAACCATTTTTTAGTTCTTTTATATCTATAAAACTTTTTGGAACAGAAAGTTATTTTTTTTTTACTATTTACCATTATTCTTTGATACGTGATCGAGCTAATAATATGCACATAAAATAATATTTACTTAAAAAAATGAAATTTGACATTAAACCCAAATTATAAATTCATCTATCTCTGACATCTCTCTAACTCTCATTTATCTCTAAGAGAGGTCATTGCTTATTGATATCATTATATTATAGTAGATCTATATAAGAGGTTCGATTTTTAATCAAGTTTTTCACATTGTTAACTGTTTGTTTGTATAACTTTTGCTATAATATTCTATGTAGTATTATATATTTTTTGGCACTTTCTTTACATTATAAACGACTACCTCTGGATCATCTTTAAAATAAATTGGTTTGCGCGCGCGCATGATAGTGTACCGTTTTAATTGATCTTCCGTCATCTCATAATCTTGTAATATACGCCTTAAATACACATGATTTATAACATTATGAAAATCTTTTAACTTTAGATAATTGAGCTATATATAGTAAATGTTATAGCTAATTTATGTACACGTAATTACTTTAACATAAATGTTATAGTAAACATATGTATTTAAATAATAATAGCATCCCTAAGTATAGTAATAGTAATTCAAGTACTAAAAATGTAAATACTAAATACCTTCGAATATATACTGAAATAAAGAAAGTTTTGACTAATAAATGCCTAACAACATACATATTATTACATATTTCTAGTGGATATACAACTATGAAATATGATTTATACAAATAGCTAAAGTTTGAACAAACTTTGAACTTAAACTTTGAACATTTAAGCAAATTACGTAAATCATAAAACTCAACGAATAGTACCTTAGTCTAATCCAACAGCATCTTTATACTTTGAAGCAAGCACCAAAGTTGATATCATCTTTTTCTTCATCATAAAAAACGTTACAAGAAAAAAATATAAACACTGAATAATTCACAAAGGGCAGAATACAATTGACCACTAAAAGCAAATAAAATGTTATTTCGAAAGTCTTAGAATAAAATTTAAAGCCTGTTTCGTCTAAACAAACAGCTATACTCGCATATTCCACACAATACTACCATTTCGGATTGCCTTGCCTATTTTTAGCTTGGTAACAAAAAGAAATAATCTGTATGTCTAAAGCTGTAGTGGTCGTTTTTGCGTAACATTTTGCTTGATGCACCGATATTTTTTTCTTTTTACACTTTTAAAGAACGCTCTTGTATAGCCCGTTATCTCCCGTATACTCAGCTACGATGAGGAAACACATCGCTAAATACCGCTTAGACTCCAATTGCAAAATGTTTTTATAAGCTATAATTTTCAATATTTATAATATTGATTACAAAATCTTTTCATTTGCCGTATAACACCGTTTGAATTAGACATGATAAAACTTAGATAGAGTTCATTTCATTTGCAAATTATGATATACTAGCAGAACCCGCGGCTTCGCTCGCGTTAAAACTGTAAAAATAAATCTAAAAAGCTAATTTTATACAAACTTTCATCCCCAATTTTACCCCCTTATAGGATGAATTTCGAAAAATGCTAAAACACGGTTTTTTTTTATTTTATTAAAAAGCATTAATACTTACCAAGTTTTAAGTAATTCTGATCATAAATATTTTTTTGAATTGTATTATAGCGTGTTTTCCTGTGATCATGGAATCAGATAATCTTCCGCGGTAAAAAAATAGCCTATGTTACTCTCCAGCCCTCCAACTATAACCAAACAAAAAATCACGCTAACCGTCATTCCGTTTCGACGTGAAATAAGGACAATCAAACAAACAAACAAACAAACAAACAAACAAACAAACAAACACACTTTCTCACTGAGACTAGCCAACTACGTAGGAGATATTATAGTGCACAAGAGTACGCGCAGACACAAGTGCACTCTCTATGCCTGTAACTCTCAAATTCCAATGGGACAATACTTATGAGGCCGACGCTTTAGATGCTCTCCGAGACACGGGGGTGAAACAGCGCCAACTTCTCAACTCCAGGCTGCTATTAGGACTGAAACACTCAAAAGCTGAACTTGGCTCTACCCGGGAGTCAAACAGAGGACCACCGGATGTGCAGCCATACGTGCTAGCCACTACACCGCCGAGGTAACAGACCACCTGTAGTAAAATTATGATGGAGCTATTAATTTTGCTTATTAACTTTTCTTATAAACCGCAATTTAAAATCTCTACGTCGTACCATTATCTGTCGATACTATCTATGCCTATTAGATTTCTCTCATTATATTATAAGCTTATTAGTGTTTAAGCAGTTAATAGGCGTGATATGGGTATATGATGAGGGAAGAAAGTCATATAAGGAAGAGGATATTAGGTTCTAATGTAGATAAATATAGCAGTAGAAGTAGACAGAGGAAGGTATGGACTGTGTGGGAGAGGATGTGTGTACTGAGATGACGGCTAATAGAAGGAAATGGAAGAAGGAAACATGTGCTGATCGGGATAAGGACAAGGAGAAGAAGATTTTAGCTTTTAAGAGATTACACTAATATTTGTAAAATTCCTTACTGTTAACACAGCATTTATTCCGCAATGTTACCAGTTCATATTAGTTCAATGCTGGGATTAAAAATATTGTAAAAGCTGACCATATCGGATTTCATATAACTATATTTTATCTACCTACATAAATAAATAAAATTGAAGTGTCTGTTTGTAATATCAAAATAACAGCTTTTTACTTAATGCATATAAAAGTATAAATAGTTTGTGCGCGCTAATCTCAAAAACGGCTTAACTAATTCGGGTACGGTTTTCACCATTGTATTGTAAGCTTCACTAAACATTAAGTGTTTGTTTCATTTCAATCTATTCATAAATAAAAAAAGTTATGTCAATTTAAAAAACACATTGGGACAAACCAGAGCGAAGCGAGGGGGAGTCGCTAGTGTCAAATAAAATTAAAATATTCTCATAACATCCTTTCATAACTCAAAACAATATACATAAGAATATATGCCGCAGCTATTAGTAGAATTTGATGCTACCTTATATGTCCTAATATGAAAATAGGGTCTTATAAGGTTGTATTAATATATTTAACAGACCATCTAAAAGGCATACGTAAATATCGAATCGGCACGTCTTTGTAGAATTCACCTGCAACATATTTCAAAGGTCTCTTATACATATTCAAGGGATATGATCAAAATTTTATTTAAATTTTCATGGTATAGGTGCCAAATAAGTTGTTATTTGTAAGTCAAAAAAGCTCTACCCATAATAATTGGCCGTTACAAAGTATGAGAGGTTGAATCGTAAAAATATCTTTTGTCTCTTTCATACTTGGGCGTGGCTTAAATATTGAATAATACTTTATAATTGCAGACCTCAAAGGGATGGTTGCCATTTAACGAACTCAAAAAAGTCATAACTGGTATCAGAAAGCATGCGGTGCACACTTGTTTATTATAATGGGGGGAGAAAATTTAAAATTTAAAAAAACAAAATGACGTGCTAATTAAGCCATAAGTAAATGTAACATTTCATAAGTAAACTATTTTTATAAAAATAAACATTTTTACTTGAATAATTTATGTTAGTGAAACAAAATGGCAGAACGTAACGAATTATAACATTTTTATTTTAAGTTATAAATTAATATATTTCATTATTGGTATTTCAACAAAATTTCAATAGCTTTCAAATTACTTTAAAATTCATTTCATTGACAAAGGAAATTCACTTACATCCTTAACATAAACATAATAATTATAGAATTTAATTAATAGTAAATATAAAAGAAAATACCCACCGATTATTTATTTATATACCAAAAAAAAATGATTATTATAGGTTATGATAATATAAAAAACTATAAAAACTCAAAACTAGACATGTCAAAAAAGAATGATTTTCTTGTAGCCATTGAAAAGCTTCATTATCCTCCACCTGGTTTCATTAAAATATTATACTCACATTTGGATTTTGAAAACTTATGATTTTTAAATTAATACGATACTAAAAAGTAGCCGAAAGTTAACTCACAAGATTTTATTATAGATATAGCTACGTTTCACTTTATGTCCAGATATTATATTTGTATGTTTGTTTGTATATATATACCTACACTGTATTACCAGTGAAACTCCATAAAAATCGGCGAGATTGTTCTTCTACCTTCTATCCTATAAGAAACTTTCCCTCCTGATACAAGTTTGCACAAGAGACAGAAAGTTTAGAAACAGATATGAAAAAATAAATAACATTAAAATTCTCCAAAACATAGGGTATGTTTTGGAGAATTTTAGTACTATTTATTTTTGTTCCTCAATAGCTATTTTGATGATCAAGGAGACAAAAGTGACGACATAAGTTTAAATTCAAGCTAAGTTTTAGCCTATATGATACATGATGCTACTTAATAAATAATTAATCACATGGCCCGACGACCGTCGTGACAATCCTGCATGTCTGAAATAAGGTCCGGCGTGCGTACCTACGGGAGTGTGGCGAGATGATGTAAAAAAGCGCGATATTTGAAATTTTAGCGATAAATAAAGAAGTAATAGTATCATTAAATTATAGCCTCCGATATGATTTATTAAGAAAATACACATGAGTTGAACATAAAAACCACGTGTTGTTTTGAAATTAAAAATTCAATTATTTATAATATATTAATTATACTTCATAATATAGTAATCTTCTGTTAATTAATTCTCAATAAAATCACCGTCCATCCAATCTACAAAAATGCAAACAGAGACTTAAGTATTTATAATTTTTGTTAAACTTTCAATAAATAATAATATCAATAAATATAGCACCCTAAAGTCGCAGATTCAATATATCAAACATTCGTATCCGGATAGGGATGTATCTGTGCAAAATTGATATCCGTGTAGGATACAAATATTTATCCCTATCTGGTTTAAATGAGGCGCATTGGAAGTTTTTAATATAAGGGATATAATGACCTACACGATTTATTTTTGTCATACAAAATAAAAATAAGACATACGTAACATTAGGTTTAATACAATAAGAACATAATATGCAATTGTATCAAGAAACTGTTTAATTTGCTAAATTGTTGACCACAAAAAATTGAAAAGCCGAAATTAGTGCTGCGTCATTTAGATTTTATCGGACGAACACAATAAGAATTATCTTACTTTTCTCAATGCGTTGACCTTAATTGGTTTTACTATGTGCACTCATTTGACTAAACAACAGTATGCGAATAATTAAAGTAAAAGTCCATATAAAATTGAATTTTCTTTAATGTAATAAAATCAAAATGTTATAGAAAGATCTATATCGAGAGACTTATCCTCTTAACGGTAGGCATATAGGCATAAGGCTGCAGTCCTACACAAAATATAGCTTTAGTTAATGTGATAAAATATTCGATTCAATTTATTTTTACGATGCTGAAATTATTAGTTGTAGGTTATAAGGTATTTTCTTTTATATTCAGCCCCTTTTTAACGTCCCCTTCTGGGCACGGGCCTCCCTTCAATACAAATTGGGGGATCAAGCCATAGTCCACCACGCTGGCCAAGTGCGGGTTGGCGGACTTCACATGTCTTTCGAAAACCTGCTAGGTTTTCTCAGACTCTTACGATGTTTTCCTTCACCGTAAGACAAGTGGTAATCATGTTAGAAATGATTCACACATGAAAATATTAGGCTTTTATACTTATTTGAAAAATGATGTTTTAATAGAAAAGCAACAATGTTTAAGCAAATGTCACATTTTCTTTAGAATGAAATATGTCATGAAAAAATAGAATCACACACCACACAACGTATTTGGAAGCTAAATCTACGTAATTTTATTTATTTGGTGTTACATATTAATGTAACACCTAATAAATGGCCTTAAGTTGGTCCGATTCACACAGAGAGTTCTGTAGCATCAATTATTAAATGCGTATTATATTTTTACTTTCATAATTTTATACATTAAAAGTAAAATAAAATATTTATTTATACACAATGGCGTAGCTGGTGAAGGCGGATGTTACCGATTGGGGGAAACGGTTTACTATATGCAAAATAAAAAAAATTACTAATTTATACCTCTTGCCTTGTGAATATATAGGACTTTAAAGGCATATAAATTGGTGCGTTATCGGTTTGTAACATCCGTTTTATTGTTAAAGATCTATCCAAAAATATTTTTGCCCCCTCAGCTACACGTTAGTGTTACCCTTAACTTTTAATTTTTCGTAATATGTCTACCGTATTGCCTAGCTATTTAAGTATACTATCTACCTTCTAAATGTCTGCTCTATAGAACCTATTTACTCTGAGTAAAGTGGCTATGGCATACGCACAGACGGACATAACGAAACTATAGCGACTCCTATTTGGCCTTTTTGGGTGCGGAATCCTAAAAAATTAACTATAGTATACGGTGACAAATCAAACAAAGGAATCTGTAAAAAATGTACAAAACATTCAAAACATGCATAAAATTATGTATTGAATAACAATAACATTTCAGGTACTTTTCCCACAGCATACCTTGAATAATGAACCAAGGTACAATTAAAAATATACACAAGCATAGAAATACATACAAAATATAGCCATCTGAGAGTGCTACAATTAGTACTTCGTATTAACAACGCTGCATAACGCCCCACTTTGGTGGATTATAAGATTTACATGAGAAATGAACGCGAATAACTTGGCGAGTACCAAAGAGTAAGGAATGCGGTTCGATTCCGCGGCAGTTTCTAAAGTGCAACACTAACGAGACAATTGTATCTCATTGCCAAGAAAAAATACTATTTGACTCAGATATTTCTTTTAGCATAAATAATATAATTTATTGATATAGAAAGTAATTTTACATACATTTCTATTATATTAATATAAGATATTCTTAAAAGATTTGGGCAATTTTATTTTATTAGGTACTTTTGTACGTATACTTACTAGCTTTTACCTTCGATTCCACTTGTGTTTATTTTTATTATTTTATAAGGAGCATGTTTTATTTAAAAAAAAACTTAATCTTTTGCTATTGCTCATATATTAGTAATTCTAAAATTCTGTTATTTAATTGAATGAAACACGGCTAATAAATTAATAATAAAAAAAGTACGGGTAATACTCATCGAAAGAAGTATT